TGAGTGTATATGTGCCTCTGTGCAATGCCTTAATAAATATAATCATTTCTCCAAACCGGTCAGTTTGTTTCTTAATTCGAATTTTCTCTATCCACTATTTGCCTTATTGATTTTTGTGAGAAATTATGGTTATTATTTTCTATATATGTTCATAAGTAAAGTTTTATAGGAAGTATTTCCGAATCTGCGTACATGTTATCTCGATTATATTTATACATATATATGTTATAGTTTAACTTGAAATAGGTTAATACTATTTCTATGTGATTATTAATTACTTTCAAACAGTCAATTTTCAAATCCCTAAGTGATTTTCAGACGAAACTTTCATCCAATTTTTATGAGAAGCTATGTTTGCTGAGGCGACATCATTTCGAAAAACTTTTTTTTTTAATTTGAGTAACTCTTTTGGCAACACTGCTTTTCTCGTCCTTGTCAAATTACATTTACCAGTTGATAAAGTAAAAAGAATAATATTCACATCGAAATGGGAGACGGTGCACAACAATATAAATAAGTTTTATTTATTTGTTTATTGAATCAAAAATATTTGAATCTAATTTTGGAAAATATGCCTAAACGACAAAAAAAAAGCTGAATGAAAACGCTATGTTCCAGATTAAAAGGGCCTTTTTTATCGCAAGCTTCTTGGCATACGCCATTTTACTTTTTTCTTCATCTTCAATGAATTCCTCACCTAAAATATGCCTACCCATTTTGGTTTTTTATTTTTTCTCAAACTAACAACACAAAATCAAACAGCACAGATTTTTTGTTACCTCCTATTTCGCTGGTAACAAAATTTACAGGGTAACAGTGAACTCAGAATACGAAATAGTAACAAAATTTACTGAGTGGTAAATTTTAATACCAAAGTGAATTTTGTTACCTCGGCAGAATAAGCTTGTAAGACTCAATTTCCTATAATCATGGGAATATTACTGAGTTAGAAAGTGATGAAATACTCAATGAAACCCCGTATAACAACGATATGGTGCAAATTCATTTCAATAGCGAACGTTCTTTAACTTCTGAAAAATTCTTTGGAAAAGGAAATAACAGGCATGGGAAAATATTTTCTGCTAAAAACAGAGAAATCGAAGGCAAATTTTTCTCTTTAATGTTAATTTATGGCTTCGTTTTGACAATTACAAAAGCAGCAATTGGGAAATAATTAAAAATATGTTGAAAGAATTAAATAGAAAAAATACAAACATTTAAATTAAACAAATTTTTAAAAATATTATTTTGTAAATATTCAAATGATAAAAAAAAAACAATATAAAGAGATACGATGCAAAATCGAAGGAATTTCAAACTGATCAGTGGCGCAGTGGTTAATTTTAATTGATTATTGACAAAGCTGTACGAGCTCAAATCCTTCTCACGCTTCTTTGCCAACTTTAATTTCTGATTTTTGCAATTTTTGGCATCATCACGCAAGTAATGGCATTATTATGATTGTTTACACGAGGAGCGTAATTCCTTGCACAACTTTAAGCGGTAACTGCTTCCTTCCACTTGAGTTTTTGCATTCTGGCATATATATACTAGTATGTCCATATATGTATTTTACAATCATGCATATATTTAAGAATTCTCAAGTGATCAGTAAAGTTATACGTCGGAAGCGCCTGTTGTGTGCAAAGAAATATATTTTCTCATAGATGCATTTTTTGGGTCTTCCCTGCTGATCGAGCAGTTGCGAGGATCACACAACACTTTGTGGTTATTTGCTTTTTTTAATACATTTAGGGCTAGATATACATAGCTTTGACCAAGCGTATTTACGAATTTAGCTTTTGAGCAATTTTTGAAAAAAAAAAAAAAAAATTACTACTTGTTGAGGAAACTGTTTGCTGATGAATAGTGGAGGCAAAGACGGTTTGCATGCGGTAGTCGTTTTTTGTTGATTTTATGCTCTTCTTCTTTTAGCAAATAACATTTCTAATAGAAAAGTGTGCAAAGGAGTAAAGGAAGTTATTCAGGGGTGTTACAGAAACAGATGGTTGTCGGAATCAGAATTGAAACCGACAAAATTCTGTTGAAGACGTTAAACATTCCGATTATTGATTTGCATATCGGCTTTATTTTCAAAAGAGAATTTATGCCGATTTTAGGTGTTACAGAAACCGATTTATCAGTTTAAATGTCAGAATTAAACCGAGCAGTTATTTTATTGACAGATTATGTGCATAGTTCTTTGCAAGCGGAAATTTAATAAATGACCTACAGAGACTGTAGGTCGCACTACGGAGATATTTGAGTCCCACAGACCGTTAATAGGAGCCTTCTGCCAAAAAAAAGGCAGTGTGGCTACAAGTTGGAGCACAGGTGGGATAGACAGCCTATCTATCTAACTGGTCTTCAATGACATCCAGCTATATTATGACAGCTGATTCGAATATAGGTTTTGCTTATCTTCGAAAAAAGTAAACTCAAATCGGTTACATAACACCATTTCAAACAGATATTGTTTTTCAATTCCGCTAAATGAGCAATTCTGTGTAGGTTTCTATAACACCCGTGGTTGTTATGATTGATTGATGTTGTTGTTGTATCCGCAAAAATATTCCCCAAAGTACTTTTTGGGGAATGTTGCGGGAGTGATAGTCTTTGGCCGAATAAAAATCCGGGTAGTTCCGGTATAAAGACCCGATTGCCGCGGGAACTATTGGATTTTAATCGCCTCTTACGACAGGCATACCTTACCCTGGGTAAATTCTTGAACCTCTGACCCGAAGGGGGTTATGATTAATCGATTAGAAATTGATGATTAAGTAATTTTAATGGATTTATCCTAATAGTGACTTTTTTGATCAGCGTAGGTCATGTGGAGGAAAAAACAAAGTTAATTCCAATTGTAAAGAACCACATAAACAGCGTTTTTTTTTTAATTGTTTTATCAATAATTTTAACAGGAAAGTAGTATTTATGAAAAAATGGTTACAATAAAAACCTCGTTGGTTTATTACGTAATAAAGAGTTTTTGGAACAAAACGTTTTACAGGCTCTTTCAAAGTAATAAAGATATTTTCCACTGTCGCTAAAATTAGTTGAGTAAATATTTTGTATGGGACATGTCACCACGTATTGCAAAACATCATTTCATTTTTTCATCGATTCATTCAATTTCTTCAAAACACTGGTATCCAGTCTAAACCATTAGATAATAACTGCAAGCCTATATTTCTATATTTTCAAATTGCCGATGCCCTACACTCTCCTCAATGGGATTTAAGTACGGAGAGCAAGTTTGGGTGAGTTCCAAAAAGCCAGTTGCAAATGAGCCATACATTGGCACGCATTCCTAAGTGCAACTGCGCAAACTTTGACGATGTATCCTGTTTCAAAATACATGGGTAAACTTATTGATGTGCATCGTTAAGGCTTGTGATGCTTTATTTTATCATAAATTCTTAACAACACTACCGAAGTCGGAGAGCGAGTTTCTTTCCGTCAATTATATTTTTTTAACATTATTTTTCTTATTTTCTTGATATGTTTCATATTTTAGCCATTTTTCGCAACCGCATCATTACAAAGTATTTTGACGTTTTGGAACTCGCCCTTATATAATAATAAACATAAAAAAATATTTTAAAACTAATTTAAATGAGTTTCTCCATTAAAAGCATTAAACTCGTTAAACTTGTTGATTAAGCACTGTTGCTAAAGGCCACCTACTAAGGTAGAAAATGTTGAGATGAACTTTAATAATAAAAAAGTATTTCTTTGATTTATTACCATTGAGGTCGAACAACAACTAGAGGTCGAAGATGATTCAGAAACAAAATGAATCCGATTGTTACATTCTTCCCCTACTTACATACATACATAATCAAAATTTTACGCTATGAATTTAACATAATTAAGTTTGCTGGAATTTAATTTAGTTTAAAATAGCGAATTTGTAAAATAATGTTTTAAAAATAAACTTCTATTATATTAAAGTGACCTATGTATTGTTTTAGTTCAGACGAATTTATTCTTTATTCTCTTATTTCTCATAAAATGTCCCTTTTAATTGTTTGCGCCATCACCTCAAGTAAGTATTTCAACAGCTAAAATTGCACGCACTCCATCAAAACACAAACGTACATGAGAGAAATATTTATAATCACATTAAATAGATTAAATCTCATCAAAAAAAAAAATGTATTGTCTTATTATTTTCCACATCTCGAGATTAGTATCCTAAATTTTTACGTCCAGAACATTTTCATTTTTTTAAAGGTTCGAAAAAATTCAATTTTAACTTTTCTCTCCGCTGAATATAAGTTTCTTTCCCACTTAAGAATATCCTGTCATGACTTCTGACAAATTTTAATAAAATATTTTATTTTTTATATAAAAAAAAAATGTAAAAAATAATTTGATATGAAACTACATCTCATAACCTTGAGCCCTTCGTTTCGTTCCAATTCTCATTAGAAAAACAATTTAAGTACATGTTTTTGAAAAATTACCCTTTGTTGTAAAATAATATTCGTTTCTACATAGGTTATTAATTAACACATCTGAGTTAATGTTAATTTAACGTTAACCCGCCACGGTAGAAGCAGCCCAATAGTTGCAATGCCGAGTGTATTTTTGGCTTATAAATGAAAGCTTCCCACAAAAAGAAGGCGACTTAAAGCTCTAAGTCACTATATTTAAAAAAGAAAAGCACCAAGGTACACAAATTGTTGAAGAAGCTCGGAAATCATATATTTAAATTATGTAAGCAGTTATTTTATAAATCCCCAATATAATTGGCGCTTTGCGATTTTCGGCCGAGCTCCTCCTGCAATTTGTGGAGGGACCTACAGTTTACACTAAGCCGCCTCCGAAAGGCTGTTGGCTCTTTTGCGAGTAGCCTTTTTTCATGTCCGAAATACACTCGGAGGGGTGGACATTCCCTACCAAGGGGCGACCGCAAAAACAATATTTAACTTACAGTATTATAAATTAAGCAATTGTAAATATTACACTTAATCAACAGTGTTTTGAATACTTACATCTCTTATTTCCTTGATTTTTTGTCCACCTTTCCCGATAACACATCCGGCAAGACTTTGATGAATCAAAAGACGCACGTCAACCTCATCATCACGCTGCAAATGAAGTATTGAGCAAATTAGTTTCGATCAAAAAAAAAAAAAAAAATTAAATAGAACTGCAAAATTTTTCTAACTCCGTAATTATTTAATTACTCACCTCTTCAAAATATTTCAACATCTCCGATACAATCTGCAAAGTCGAATCCAGATCTGATGATATCAGTATGGTGCTATTAGAAAACCGAAAAAAATAGTAAATATATTAAATATTCCATTCCTTTATCTTAAGACAACAAAATGTGTTATATCTTATATATGCACGGTTTTCGTTCCCTTTTGATTATATTTCTAAAGACCGGAATTGGGACAAGAGACCATTGCTTATTACACAATCGCCGATTCATAAACTATTGCTTAAGGAATGTCTTTGTAGTATTATATAAACCGAAATGAAATCGTTATACATACAACATCAATACTGTCAACATTCGTTCATAAAATTCGTTAGTGTTAAAAAAAATACAAATATTTTTAAAAATGGAAGTTATGTTTGGATTAGTGGTTGCCATAATAATTGTAATAGGCAACCGAAACATTCATCAATTTCCCAAAAAATTTATATAATATAATCCAATACCACATGTTAATAAATATATAAGACATCAAATTGTTAAAGAAGACACACACATATTTGTAAATACTTAAATTATAATTCAGGCATAACAAAGTGCAATTAGTGTAATAATTGCTAAATAAGGTATTAACAATATGCTAAGCCAATGATTTCAAGTTGATGAGTAGTAAAGGAAAATAGAGCCTGCCTTATGCCTTATTTCAACTTCAAATGTAAGAATAAAATGGAACAGTTATATGGCACGATATATATACATATATATGAATATATGTACGAATGCTTAGTTTGACAACCCAGACAGTAAGTTAAAAATTATATAATTACTATTAGTTCAAGGGATTGTTAGTACGAAGTGCATACAAATTTGTCATGTCAACAAAAAATGTAAATTTAATTTCCACTACTATCATGTAAGTATTTACATTAAAGACGTAAACAGTAGTTTTTGTAAAAAAAACGGCATGAATGGATACGTAATAAGCTAAAGTAGATATTCGAAAAGATTTGTATTGAAAATGGCAATGAATGTGGTTGGGTAAAAAAAACGTTCGGATAACTTCTAATTTGTTCCTGCTTCTTAACGATTTGATGAGTTTTAGGTATGTATACGTTCATCCTATATGCAATAATATGAATGTGCATAAATACCTTACATTTGATAAAATGCTGCTTTCTTTTATTACTTTATAGAAGATATTTTAGGATATGAAAAACCAATCAATTACAAGATTAGAATGGAGGTATGTTAAAAACAGTTTACGAGATACAATGTACGAATTATTTAGAAAGGAACAACCAAAAAGTTCAACATAATATTTAACGTAATATTTACGTAGGTCTAAAGTACTGATATTGTATATTTTTCTGATGATTTCAATCATTCGATTTAGATAAAAGAAAAAAGAATTTAAGATATTGTAATGGATAAGTGTTTACCGTTCGGGGCCTTGAGAGTCGTCGACAGATACAGTGGCTTTATACTGCATTTTTTATTGCATTGGTTGACAGTGTTAGGTTTACGAATAACATTTGGTCAAGTTGTAGCATTGGTGATGTATAACAATGGTGATGGTTTAGCGGTAGAGTGGTTGATGGTCATTTGGTGTTTCACACAAGAATGTATTCACATTTTGGTGAGTTGGTACGCAGACGAAATACATTTTATTTATGGAGTAGTTTTCATATTCAATTATATCAATCAGATTATTATTTATATACATACATATATATATATGTATATATATATATATATATATATATATATATATATATAAATTTGTATTATTATTTCAAATGACAGATACGAGCGGTACAAGACATTGAAAATGTGATCGCGTATTTGAATATCAGAGTTAAGACAAGTTTGTTGGTTTAGAGATTTTAAATAGCATTTTTTTTACATATTTTGCGCAGACACATCGGTGTTGGCCAAACAATCGTTTGGTGATGTTGGTGTTTGTGATGGCGTTCAGATCAGACCAGGGCCATTGCAGTTGATGGACGGGCAGGCGGGCGAGCAAATTAACGAGCAGGCAGGCAGGCGGGCAGACGTATGGGCATTTATTTCGATCGATTTGAATTTGTTTCATTTTACGATATTGAGTTTGCCGTTGAGAAATTTATTTCAAAGCAAACCATTTCGGGTCAGATCAATTCAGGCAGTAGGTGGGCGATCGAGCGAGCAGTCACGGCAACGTTCATAATGCAACGTTTACGATTTGAATTTTAAACAATCAATTCGTTTAATTTCGTGTCGGATTTGTACAACACAGTTACATAAAACGAGAGAATGGGGCAAGAGAAAAGAGAGAAAAAATTCATTTAGTTATGAGGTTAAGTGCATTTGGCTTATTAAAAACTAATAAATATAATTAAAATTCATATTTAACAATAATAATGGTTTTATTTTCTTATACATAGCAGGTTCGCAGTATATTACAAATTAAAATTCCAATATAAATAAAGAAAGCATAGGTAGGTAGAAGTTAATAATTATTAGAATTATTGGTTTAGATTATTATTGGCCAGTTTAATTTCCCGCGAACCAGAATATCAGTTTACCAGTTATTTTTCCTTCTATTTGCAGTTATTAAAGCTATGAATATTCTTCATTGAAGGCAACAAGTTCAAAAAATATTTTCTGTATTTCTGTGCTATTGATTGGATAAAAATTTCAGCAAATCTTTTCATGGAAGATATATTTTTTGAAAACTAAATTGGACTCGGTATGCTTCTAATTCTAAAAGTAGCGGAAGGGACAGATGGAAGCAATGGATAACGGAGTTTTCAGAATATTCAGGATTAATAACATATTTATGTAAATCTTGTACCTGAGTGCGCATTTTCTGGATATGCTGTCCTCCTTTTCCGATAACTGCACCGGCAATCTGAAATTATAATTTGAATTCACATTATGTTAAACAAAGTGTCCTTTACCATTATCTACTTACATTACTGGGGATTAGGATACGAATTTGGTCGTCATTGCGACGGCTACGTTTGTCGGCATGTGGGCCATCATCGTTATTTTCTCGCTTCATTTTCATTTTTTCTAAAAAATAAATGAATTCAATTTATTAAAAAATAAGTAAAGCATATTTTTATAAAGCACATATAACAAAAATATCTATTCCTGTAACCACATTTAGGATTATTTTGGGAATTAACCTTCAGAAAAGCACCAGCATCTAAACTCAGGGGAAATCATAATTTTAAGGCAACTCATGACCCGCTGTGCACTTAAAATTGCCTGAAAATTTAATCACGATTTCATCTGAGATCAAGAGAAGAACACTGAATTAGCAGAGAATTTTTTTCATTAATCACTATGGATATTACATCTTTTGTAAGTTAAATAAAAAGTGCATTTATTTTACGAATGAAATCTAAAAGAGAGCGTTCGATTTGACTCTCCTCACTACGCTGCTAGTAACGGGAAAAATCTGAAAAGCTGTGTTCGAAATGCACAGAGAAGAATGAAGTTAGTTTATAATTCGTTAAAGGTTTTGACATTCAATGCCGGAAGAGATTATATTTAAAACAAAGAAAAAAAAGACATTTTAAATCTTGGGTCGTTTTAAACCGATACCCTGTTGTTCGTAGTAAGCACCACTGCAATCAAAAGCGCAATGCAAAAATTTGCAAAGGATAAAATCAAGAGAATAAAATTTCTACGGCCTAGTAAATATTGAACAAAATCTAATGACGCAATACCTTTATATAGTGGGTCTTTAAATTTTAACGAAATGGTAATATATTAATTGATGAAAATAAAATAAAACATATGAAAATATAGTTTTCTTCGATTGTCACGGTATTTTTGTTACCTTATTTATAAAATACTTTTGCACCAGGATAATTTAATAATTTCTCTAACAACTACAACTACATTTATAGAATTTATCACAAATTTTCACAGATTGATTCCAAATTATTGCAAGTTTTCTTGTCACTTAATCGCTGACCAACTCGAAGGAAATGTCTATAACAACTACCATTTTATCGACACAAAAGCCTTTATTTATTAGCAAAAGCTTGTGCAATACCTCTAGTCTAAAAGCCGGCCCATCAAATGCAACCGGAAATTGACCAATCAGAAACAAGTCCTTTGTAACTCCCACTCTAGAAAAAGTGCATGAACAACAGTTCAGACCCGATCAGCCAAAGTGAATTGACAGAGATGGAACATTGACTACCGATGGGCAATAATTTAAACGCAATGACAGTGGCTGCCAACAAATGGACAGATAGTAAATGACACAAAACAGGACATGTATATAACCTCAAACTGGCCAATAAAAATCTAACAAATAAATAGATCATTAAAAATTCTTACACGATATATAGAAACAGGGGAAAGTATATGTTTGGGTACCACGCAACCAAATTCAGACCAGAAAGACCACAACAAAACCTCCAGGTACCTGCATTTATACGTAATTACAATTTGTATGTATGCATTTATGCGCGCGCCATTATCGTGAGCCGAAGAGAAGGTATTAATAAAGTTGCACTTAATATTGTCAGTATATTTATTTATTTTTTTCTTTTGCGGTCAACCCCTCTATAGAGAAATGGAATATTATTTGAAAATTCAGCCCCATCAAGGAACGTAATCAAATTATGAGAATTTTTAATTGCAGAATGGGCAGGCCGAAACGGACGTTTGATCGAAACTGTAGAACTGATGTCTTAAGTTCTGAATATTTAATGCAGTTGTAGTCTTTGTCCTGTGATTTTAGCCGTAAGTTTGTGCAATGGGAGGACCATTTAGTTGTGTCAATATCAGCTGATGTTTTCACATTATTTATTTTTAAAATTTAAAATACCTCGCATACGTGTATACTTTTGAGCCGTAACTACCTAGCATATGGTGTGTAATCGTCCAACATGTGCATACACATTTAAGTATATAAGCATACGTACAAACACGAGATATTCAGTCATTTGTAGAAAATTTTTTAAATAAACAAAGAATAACATAAAACAATACAGCAGTTAAGTTTCCTTCAGAATTGGATAATTACTTAAATGGCCAAGTTAAATTCCTAAGATTAAATATTAATTTCGATATTCTAAATAAAGGGTAGATAAGCGTTAGGAAGTTTTAAGATGAGGCGACTTAACGTTACATACCCGATTGTTTTAGAAATGCGGGAAGACATGAACAGAACCGCACAACAATGTGAATGTATACATATCCTGAATTAGGCCGAGTTAAGTCATTTGTTAAGGCATATATTATATTTCAGGAAGTAATTTTCCAAAAACATTGCGTATATCCAATCAATGACATGTAGACCAGTTCGAGTTCGAATATACAATATATGAGCATATATGTGTGAGTATATGGCATTTTTTAACCGCTAAACCTCCAATTTGTGGCAAGGGTCTGGATTTTTATCCCAACAAATGGCGGTACCTACAGTTCATTCTAAGCAACGTCAAAAAGGGCTAATAGATTTTTATGAGGCACTTTTTTTCATAACGGAAATGCTTACGGGAGGCTTGACATTCCTAGCCGAGGGGTAGCGGCAAATAGAAAAGCGAATTCCTTAAATATGTGTATTACCTACTATGCTTTAAGAGTGGTTTGAATCGTAACAACTGTTATATAAGCAGCATTCAAGTAAACTCAGATGGCATTTGGTCTGGTGAAATTTCCAACAAAAAAAATCGTTAGTGATGTTGATAGCATTTATTTTGCATTTGCTCTATTGATTTCCTCCCTGAAGTGCTTGATATCCAACTCTGGTCTACTTCTTAACAACAGACATCGGGTTGTTCAAAATATATCGGACCGGAACCTCTATTTTTTACGCTCTAATAAAAGTTAATAAATACTTATAAAATATAGTTTTGTACATACACGTATTATATAATCATAACTGTGGTTTGTATGCGATCTACAACTGTTAAATTAAATTTTTGCATCAAGTTTATAATTACCCATTGGTGATACATAAGAATTTTCCTAATGTTGTTAAAAGACAGTCGCATTTACCACAGTTATACATGTATGTGAGTTATTTTTTAGGGTAGCCACGCCTAAATTGTGTGACCGTCCACAATGCGTGTCATATGACATATATACTTGGTATATATCTAACTCATGGCCACAATCTTTATAAAAAAAAAAAAAAATTTTCATAACACCTACATATGTATTCACGCCATTGTTTGACCATTTTTGTACACATTTTTATATTCCTCAATCTCCATGGTAACAAAATTATGTACAATGACGGACTGTCAGTAGTAGACCAAGGCAAGCTAATATTCCCTAAGCTCTTACTGGTATACTACTTACAGTCATTAAGAACTGTGCTACAAAATTAAATAGTAGTTCTATTTGATTTCGATGCAATTAGGCAGTCAGTCCAAAATACATACTTTTTTTAGCGTTTACTCAAACCATTAACAATGCATGTATATATGTAACCACAAAACATAATTCAAAAATATGTATTTACATACAGCTGTATGCCAGTTTAATGTATGTACATATGTATTTAAAAAAAAAATAAGTAATCAAAGAAGAAGAAGTAGTTAACATTTAAAAAAGAAATAGTTTTTCAATTAAATACAAGGAAAATTTAAGTACCAGCATTGCTTTCCAAATTATGCCAAACTCTTTAATATATTTTCGCCGCTACATCACAAGTCGCACAATATTAAATTATTTTAGAGTACAAAGCTTAATACTGTATTGGAACCACGACCACCTGCACACTTGTTCATTTTCGAATATAAGTTCAGCATTTTGAGTGTTTTGAACCAATATTTGGACTTTTCTCAGCACTTTTTTCTATAAGTTTTAATTTAGTTTTGTAATATTGAAAAAATTACAAGCGAATTAGAATTTTTATCAGCTGCTCAACTGTTTCCGCAGCTCGAAAATTTCAACAAACTTTTGCACGCAAGGCTCGATAACGACAAGGTTGGAGCTATACTTTATATGTCGAGGTTAGGACTAAATAGATAGATTAGTAGGTAGTTATTTGAGGAAATACGCTCGAAAAATTATCCTATGAACAACCTCAAGAGGGGTAAGCGTAAAGTGATGCAATGTGCTTCTGCTACGGCTCATGTATTACACTTCTGTGCATGTCTGGTCCCAACTCACAAAAGCAGCAAATGATGCTTAAATTTGGTTGTATAGTCTATAATGTTCTGTAAATAACTTCATACGGAAATTTTAAGTTAAATAATTCTTGCAAGCTACTGCCTTCTGTTGACAGTTTTAACATTTCTAGATAAAGGTAGATCGCTGCAAAAAATTAAATTACATGGATTCCCATTTATTTTAAAAGTTATAAATTATTGTACAACTGTAGTTCTAAATTCGGAAACATCAGTTGGTTAATAGTTGACTTTAGCTCTGCTAGAAAGTACGCAATCGTACTCTCGAAGAGAGAAAATTTCACCGAGTCTTCAGCAAGATTATTTAGTAAAAATAAAACTTAGCCAGCAAGTTGTGCAAAAGCTGTTGACTTGTCGCTTATATTCTCAAGAATTTTTATTGACATCCTCAACATTACTGTACACTTCTTAGATTCTTTGTTAGTAATTCATTTTATACAACGCCGTCGCTCTCGTATTGGTGACCGTAGCAACAACATTGCTTCGCAATCTTTTACTGCTCATTTGGTTGGCACTGCTTTGTAGTAATGGAATCCAAATCATCCTGCATCGTACAAAAAAAAAATTCTATAGAATCAACGTTCCTCATTTCCAATTCCTCCGTTTGGTATGTGTGTTGTGCGGACAATGATTGCAATTTGCAACTTCCCCAACAAACTGTACTGGCTTTTTAGCAAAAATTTTTACTGCCCATCAGCAGGACTTTTGACTGAACTAATCTCCTCTAAAGTCACGTTAGCTAGCATTTTTCTACATATCACTATCTTGTTTTGTAATATTGGTTGTTCAATATCCGAAACTTTTGGAATCGATTTACGTGAAATTTCCTACGGTACATGATTTTGTATTGAAAATTAATGATGTCCACATATTTGAAAAATTCAAATTCGTCATGAAACTGTTTCTGTATTTTTTCATGTGTTTACATGTATTTGTTAAAAGTATATGAATTTAGATATATATATATAAATACATTACAGTCGTACATTAAAATATGTATGTACATACATAGGTACATTAGGGTGACACTTATTTTGAAAAAAGTTCGGATTCTCGACTCCCAGTCCGTAGGAATATTCGGGAAAAAATTATGTAATTCAATACTTTTTCTTTTCTTTCTCTTGGTGCGAAACTCAAACGAATTTATAAAAAATCGTACACCATTTCTGCGGTAAAGACATTTTAACTGGATAAAAAATCACAATAAATCAAATATTTACAACTTCACGGTAAGCCGTGAATTAAATTCATTCCGCATCGTACTACGCACTGTTAACTACTCAGCTGATGCTAATGCGTGAAAAATGCGACTTCCAATAATTATTAACTAATATAAATTTGAAGCATAGATAGGAGTTCCATTATGTACTGCATGAATTTGAAAGAACGCATTATTGCATGTTACTTTGAAAAAACTTGAACCGACACAGGCGTAATTAGGATGCCGCGACAGTATTAAAAAAAAAAACTTAAACGAAAACTGTTACTAATTTTTTTAAAGCGATCAGTTCAAGTAATTTAGATGTTTTTATTATTTAATTAGGCTTAGCTGATCTGGTTTGGTTAGTGTATTTACCGTGTAGGCAGCATATGTATGAAATTTTACTGTGATATCAGTAAAGATGTTTAATCATATCGATGAAGAGAATTGGTAGGACATTAACAAAAACATTTTGAAAGATTGCCCATACTGTTATTTTCTTAAAACAATTTAAAATGACAGTTAGAAATCGGTCGTTATTTGAGATGCGTTTTTATTATACGATTTTAAGTTAAGCTTTAGTTTGGTTTCGTTAATCCATCTAAAGCACCTCATTTAACGATTATTAATAAAACTCGAGAATTCAGAACCATAATAAATAAGCAACACACTAACCACGCTATTAAGAAAACAGCAGCTATGAATGAATTGAATAATACAATATCAGATTACAAGACTGATGTTGGCGCAATGATAGAACACTCGTTGTTAAATCGGGATACGTTGATTCGATCCATGCCATAAGAAGTCTGATCAGTAGATTTCGATAATGACGTTTCTATTACAGTATTACGAGTAAAGATTGACAACAATAACAAAGAAACAGAAGACGTAAATGTGTTCCTTGTAAAGCCCAATGAAATTAACTAATTTAAAGAAAAAGAAGAAGAAGAATTGAACAGCATAGATTTTTGTTTCATCTGGAAACTTTTATAGCAAAACATTGTTAAAAATATAATAGTAGTAAGTGACACCGCAGAACAAATAATAAGGAGAAAAAATCAATATTTGTGACAAGTCGTGATTGATTATAAAAAAAATATTTTAATTTTAATTTTATCGGCATAAGTTAAATTTTTTATTTGTTTATATTAGTCTGGGACTAAGTATGTGTGTATATCATGATCATGATGATCATTTGTACATACATATGGATTTTCGTATCATGTTTGATGTTTATTGTAGTCAATATTGTAATGCATGTGCATATATTTATTATTATTCATCTGATTTGCGCCATTCCAGCTCCTTTTGAAAGACAAGCATCATAAAAAATTTGCAAATATTTCGAAATAACAATTTTATTAATTTAAAATTTTTTTGGCTTTGAGCCGCTGTGAGCCACCTCAAAGTCGTTTTTGATTGACCTGCGGAAGTCATCAGCACCTTAATGAATTTTGGACAGGAAAGTTTTGCGAGGTATTTGTGAAGCAATATGTGAGATACGAAGTTTGAGTAGAACAATTTATTTGAATGTTTGTGTTTGCGACAATGAAAGGTTTGATACACTCCAAAATTTTCACTCCGTTGAAAATATAAAGCATTCCTAGTCGACAAAGTCGAATCTCAAGAAACTTTTGCTAACGCCCATTAAAAAATTATCATTTCACTTTTCATCATTCGCTATCTAGTGTAAAACAATCGCTTTAATACTCATCAACTTTACATGTCGATTTTAATGGTTTTCTTTTGGTAAAATTAAGTTTAAAAAATAATATGTAAATTTTAACTATGAACATTCACAATTATATAATTTATCAAAATCATCAAACGCCGAAAAATCACTACATAACTAATACATATATATGTATTAAATACGTGTGTACTTACTAGTCATAATTGAAGCAAGAACTGTAAATTGCCTATTCGGTACTAAAGCCCTTGTAACCTTAGAAGGCTCTGAAAAAATAGACAAATAACTGTGTTAATGATTTAGTACTGTCTCAGTAATTTAACCGTTAACGAAAATTAGTTAGAGCTGGATCATTGTAGAAAATTTCTTACAAAACAAAATTTAATTATTCAGAATATATGTAAATGTTAAGAACAGCTAAAACATCGTGAAACATATTAAAGAAAATTTAAACGTCTCACTTGGAAAAGACACAGCTTGTTTAAATTGGCTTTTAAATAAAAATTCCAGTCTAAAACTAGACTACAAAGTCCTTATTTACAACGCAGTATTAAACCAATTTGGATGTACGGTATTCAACAGTGGGGTACGACCTGTGTCGCTAATATCGATAAAATACAGAGGTTCCAGTCAAAAATTTTAAGAACACTAACGGGTGCACCATGGTACGTTCGTAACGCTAACATTCATCAAGACCTTGGTATTTTACTGGTTAAGCCTGAAATTGAAAGAAGCAGGACGAAGTACTTCACAAAGCTAAGAAATCATCCAAATCCGCTAGCTAATGCTTTATGCAACCCATCGAGAAATTCACGCCTGCAGCGAAGAGATGCTTCCGCCTTGTAAGGAGAGCGCCGTAGTTTGAAAAGGGCTCAGAGTAAAAAACTCGAGCTATCATGTTTGTAATTTAGTTTTTAAGATTTGTACACTTACTGTTAGGCTTATATTATAGCAGATCCAGTAAACAAATGAATTCTGTATATAAAAAAGTACTGTGTGTACATTCCATTTCGAAGCCAATCATTAATTTTTTTTTTAAATATTTCTTAAATACGATCCACACACAGTGGATAGTCGGTGGATAGCGGTTTTATGTAGACAAATACGGTTTTCATGGCATACAAAGACTAATAATTTCGAACAAATTTGATTTACTTATTTAAGCGTATTATTGCGTTAAACTTACAGATTAGATATCCCAATTTACTTAATATTATAACTAACTGACTAGAAATTAGAAATATATATTGAAAATAGTGAGTCCCTATCAAAAATTTGTTAGTAAGTAATCATGTAATTAGGGCAATATTATGCAACGCGCTACTTTCCGGAGAGCAAATCGGAGCAGCATTATTTATGACCGACGAGGTAATTCTCTTGTATATTGCGAACAACGGCAAGGAATGGCCTTGCGAGTGTATCGCTGACATGACTTAAAAACTTTCATAAAAATTAATCAGCCGTTCGGAGAAGCTTTAGAGTAAATGTAGGTCTCTCCATTTGTAGGAAAAACATCAAAGCGCATCACAAATTGGAGGAGGAGCTTATCCGATTATATAATTGGCGCTTTGTAACCGCTTAACCGATTTTCGGCCGAGCTCCCGGAGGAGGCTCCATTTTGTGGTTTTGCGTCTTGATGTTTTTTCAACAAATGGAGGGACCTACACGAAATACACGCTTAGGAGTTTACATTCCCTGCCGAGGGGCAACCGCAATTAGAAAATTTAACTTAATTTTTTAATTTAAATTAATTTTTTATAAGTTTTTGGATGTTAGTACGACATCAGGACTTGAATCAGAGCCTTCCGAATGGCAGTACGCAATGCCAACCACTCGGCTGACGTGGCCGCCGTTGAGCATGACAATATATGTTTGTAACTGATTTTGCTTTCGAATTACGAAGAATATTTATAATTGATCAATTTACTGTTTGTTTTGCTCTTGTAATAAAATATTTGGGCATATTCTATTTTATTAAAAGCATTCATATCTTGATATGAGGATATCACATAAAGGTTTTCTTTGTATATTTTAGATGAAGTTAGATTTTATTGGCTGGTTGTTAGACTGACATAGGCGATGGTCCTTTGTAGAGCCAGATGGCCGTTCAGTTTAATTGGAGCTATAGTAGTCGTTATGCAGGAAAGAGGCTGGTTTACTTTTGGCAATCTTATCAACTATTGAATTTCACACAATGCAATTGTGTTCTCGAACTCAGTATTAAGCTATGGACATATATATAGCGCATTTTTTAAGACTACTTTCTTATGCGTTTGTGTAGTTAAGGATATCATCAACTAACAAGTTTTTGGGTTTATTCCAGTTTATTCTACTCATTATATAATAACATTTGGTCTAGTTAGAATTCATTAATACCATGACAAAATATGAAAATGTGGAAAAGGCGGCGAAATAACCACGATACATAAATTACACAAACTATAAATAGAAGAAGATTTTTCCCCTTATATTTTGTCTGTGGCTCATATTTGCCACGAGTTTTTGTCACTCAACTTTAGGTATTTGTAAGCTTCAAAAACGACAGACCAATTGTCGTCCAATTTTTTTTCTTTTTAATTTTCCTTTGTTATTTCAGTCCTTCATTCCATAGGTTTTCAAAGTGATTTGATTCAGAATATCGGTATTATACGTGTATACACTCAAGTAATTATTATTTAATGTTTGAACCATAAATTTTAATTTAATTTGCATGGCATTGGAAGAATTAAAAAAAATTTATTTGTGATTTTCGTTTCGTCACTCGCCAATACACGTTTCCAAAAAATTAGGCATTTTCCATGTTGGACTAATAGTTACATCACGATGCTCATTTTAGACGAAAATCCGTTATTCTTTGAAATGCGCCCAAACAAGTTTGCTTTATTTAACCGCAAACCGCATCTGACGCTGATGACTAGAATGGCTTTCAAATTTTGATTTTTATAAATAATTCTTAGTCCTCCTCCACACATGAATTAATTGCGTTGAATTCAATTTCCTTAACGAACTGCCCTCCTGCATGCATTTTCCAAATGGTTAATCTTAGTTCTGTTACTGTATTTTTTCCTGATCCCATTTTCATTTATTTTTGTTACTCAAAAATCTTTTAATAAAACAAAAACCAAAATTTTGACATTGGTTTCACCAAAACTATTAACGTTGAACCAAAAACAAGACGGAATATGAGTGCAAAAGTTTTAGATTACGAGAAACCTTCAGTAGAAAATCTGTAGCATTTAACAAGATTTATGTGCCATTCCTGGGTCCATTTGTGTATAAGCAGCTACTTTCGGCAGCTGGCTAATCTACCGTCTCAGTACCCCCCTACTGACTCGGGGTTTAAGAATTTACTCGCTGTAAGGCATGCCTTTTGTAAGAGGCGACTAAAATCCAATAGTCGGATCTTTTATCCGGCCAAGGACTGTTCAGTTCCGCAACATTCCCCAAAAACTACTTTGAGGATTTTTTTGCGGTTACAGCAACAAGAACACTGTTTAAGTGCTTCCAAAGATTTTTTCTGATACGATATGAATATATATTTCCAAATTTGGTTTATGAAAAATGCTGAGAGCCTTGGACTTAGACTATGTTCTGGTATTTGTCGCTGATCCGTTGGGGGATATTAGCTTCAAATTGATATTTAAATTGTTTTGTTTACAAAATAAAAATATTTGCCTTTTCGTGAACATTATTGTAAGCACTTCACCATTTCAAATTTCTATAACGTAACCTTACAAGAGAGGCTGAAGGTTTTTCGAACCTTTATAATAGCTCACATATTAAAAAATGCTCGAAAATTAAAAAAAAAAATATTTTAAGCAGTAGAGAAAGAAGAAAGAAAACGGGTTTCGAGTTCCCCACGCTGCTCGAGATCACATAGATAAATTTAAGAAATTCTAGGAGCGGAATACATGTTATGTAAGAAACAATATCCGACCCTAACTGCTCCAATGTGTGACTGTTTTTCAATTTACTGGGTCATATGACCGAACTACTCAGAAATGTTTGAGCAAGCCGTAGTAGATGCAATAAATTCCACGTAAAAAAAAATTTGTCCAAAAACTTTAAAATCGAACATTATGTTTCTCAGCATTTTTCGTAATAAGAATGCAGAATACATACCTTTGACTTAGAAATGAGGTAGTATTCGTGTTGTTCCCTTTTTTTAATTATGATATACATTTTATTTGGAGGTGGCGGAACGAATAGGCAACATTTGGAAAATGGTTCTACAGTGTTTCGAACTTTTAAACCTTTGTATCGTTAGAAAGGTAAAAGAATATTGCTTTTCTAAATCTATATGTATACACTCTCTTTTAAGAAAGCCATTTAAAAAAAAAAAACAGTTTTTTATACAAAAACTAGTTTTTCCATATACCATATTATGAGTAATTAAACATAAGCTAACCTGCATTTAATAAGTTTGATATAGCCTTTTAGTTACTTTTAAACAACGTGTTTTAATCGAGCTGTTAACGTGCACTGCCTGTACTTATGCGCAGACAATTATTTGCAAGCACGAAGAGGCATTTTAAACAAAAATGTTGAGTTCAGGGAAGTTGGAATTTTTATAATCCTTTTTTTTTTTGGTAGTTACCTTTTGGTTAATAATTTAATTAATTTCAAGAAAATCTAAATTATTTTATATGAACAAATTTCTCTTAAAGAATTTTCTCAAAATTTATTTATCCAAAGTATTTATACATACATGGATACTACCTTTTTCCCTTTTTAACGATACGAACTTTTTCAAGTACCATCATCCGATAATTAAAATTAAAATTAGCGAAAATTCTTTCGTCTCCCACACATTTAAAAAATAAGTTTGTGCCAAAAAAATTGATGTAGATATGTTACACTTAGAAAAGGAGGACACACACCCACTTCTTCATTATCTTATGTCTTGCCGGTTTATATTTTGCATTTATTCATTTTTAACAAAGTTCATGAAATGAATCATTGATTAAACAATTTGTGATACCTATTCCACCATTTAAAGTTATAGATTTTATTATCTCTAAAATTTCATTTGGGTGTTGTATATATGTATATGAAGGTTTGTATCCATTTAAATATTATTTCATTATCAAATGATTTAACTCAAAAACGTGGTTACTATAAAATTTAATAAAATGCAACAAATATATGAACTCGAATTTGACAAGCAATCTCAAAACGTTTTATTCAACAACTCCAATTTCCATTACAAAATCAACCGAATACCAGGAGGTTTAATTATAATTTTGTATTGTACTACGAAAAACTTTAGAAAAATAAAAATAATATCTTAAATATTTTACATTTCTTATTTTTTTTTTTTTGCTTGAAAACTTTGTTTAATCATTTTCTGTTGTTTTAAGGCGCAATAGTTTTGTGAATTCGCAATACCTCATGTCGCCCACTGAAAAAGACTACAATTGAATAAACAATTATATTAATCGTAATATTCAATAGATGTAAATCGATTCGAATGACGATGGCGTAAAAACCAACTCTGAAATTAAAAAAAAAAACCAGTCTACACTTTGCAATACTGATTATTCCTTTCATAATCTAAACTTCTATATAGTAATTAATGCGTTGCAAGCACGCCACACTAACGAACTGAAGTCCCTCATCCAAAATCTTTAACCGCCCATTCTTTTAACTTTTTCAATTTAGTAGAAAGAACTAAAACAAACTATTCATATATATGGTCGATGTTAGCGCTAACTCGATGCCATTGTATTCATCAAATTCTGGATTACTAGAGGTATCCCTATATAAATTCCTTATGGTGGAATCGATAAGAATTACTTATGTATGTATATGCAGTAATACTTTTGTTTAACTTACCTGAAAGATTTTTCAAGAGTTAAATTCGACAACAGCAAATATGTAGCACTTTAACTATCAATTAAAATATATTTCGTTCAAATATGTATGACCATCAAATTAAGAAAAAGAACTTTTCTTCACTATCGGTGAATTCTTCAATAAATACACAGCAGAAAATGTAGTTAAGCGAAATACAAGCGAAATGAATTGCAAATGGCGACGCCGACGCAGAGTTGTATTCGCTGCCAGAGGTGCATACAGACAACCTTTTCTGGCCCTCTTTCAACAATCTGGATTGATGCTAACAAGAACTTAGACTGGCGATTTCCTCATTCTAGAGAACAACTTAAATTTAACGATAACGTTTTAACATCTGGTTTTCACAAAAATTACTAATATTTTAGAAATACTTTTAAGCGTTTTCTACGACATGTCATCAAAATTTCTTCCGACTTTATTTCTTGTATTGCATGAAAAGTTTTCGGTTCATAAGACTGACTTAGCACAGTGCGATTCTCATTGCCGAAATTCTCTCTCTTTACATGAGACTTCTTCTCCTCCTATATATTCTTGTGAGTAAGCATGCATAGAAAATAACTGAGATGAGACGAAGCGAGATGCAGTAGCGCTACAATTTATTTTCGATTGATAAATTTAAACTCTTTTTATATTTTGCAAACCTATTAAGCAGTAAAAAATTAAAAAATAGGGTATTTTTTGGTCTTTCATTGTGGCACACTCTTGGTTACCTTCACTTCGCAGTAAAAGTCTCATAAGTCAAGCAAAGCGAAGAAGAGGTTATTTTATTTAATGATAATAATAATAACAAAGCATTTGGTACAACAGAGATAGTGTGAAGAATAAGTAAATATAATATTACTTTACAGATCCATTGACAAAAATAATAATAATTTATAATATAATGAGCTGAGTATGACAAAAACTTAAACAATTAATAAATAGTCAGTCTATGTTTGAAATTTGGCCTTTAAAATGCATATATATGTGGTTCTTGAAATTGCTTCTGTTTAATTTCCTCCTTAAATTAGCAGGAAGAGAGTTCCATAATCGACTAGCTTTGACAAAGAACAGCCTTGATGACTGCTGTGATTTATGAAAAGGTATTATAATATTACCTACTCTAGCTGACCGAGTAAACGACAACTTGGAAAGAAGATAACTAGGAGATTGAGTCATTATGAGTTTGCAAAGAAAAATACAATTTCTGGCTTTATGATAGTCCGCAGTCGTACATCTTAATATCTGATCTTTCCAAGACGAGATGTGCTCATATTTGGAAAGGCCAAACACATACCGTGTGTCATTATTAAACATAACGTCAAGCTTACGAGCAGAAAAACTGTCATGTTTGCTGTATACGACTTCAGAGTACATGATGACCGGAAGAAAAACTTGTATAGCAAGTCGGCGTCTGGTAGCAGTGGGTGTATAGATAGCTGACTGCCTAAGATTCCTCAGAATGAGATAGACCTTACTAACAATGGAGTTTACATGATATGTGCATGTAAGATTAGAGTTAATAATGTATCCTAAGTTTTTAATCTTGCTGACTAATTTTAAGGGACAATTGTCTTTGATTATGTGAATGAGAATCAGCCCTGGAGTCGAAATGTCGGGTGGAAAAAAGAGATCCTCTCTGTACTTTAAGCCCCTTCTTGGATAAATCAGGACTGATGCGTGCAAATGGAGGTCATACCCAATATTGCCCTCTTCTCCTCGAGTTTTCCACTCAACTCTACTGCCATCTCTGAAGATTCGTATGATCCAACGGGAATAACACATCCCCCGTATCCACCAGAAGATAAAATCTTGTATCTTACTTTGCAAAACCTGTATGATATTTAACAAACCATTGACTTTCTACCGAGCATCCCACTCCGAGGTATGCGAGTGTGTTTCGGTATGTTTCTCAACGAAAGGCATTCATCTAGAAGTATCTTCCGATCTAACAACCGAAAAGGCATCCCTCACAAGATAATGTCGGACAATGGCAAAACATTTGTAGTAGCACAGCGAAGCCTACGAAGGAACTATCCTCATTCCTTGAGGAAGTTTCGGATAAAACCACAAGGGAATATGCCATTCACGGACTTACCTGTGAGTTTATACTCCCTTACGTTACATATATAAGAGGATTTTTGGAAGCGGCAGTGAAAAGCTTCAAAACTCAATCCACCAAAGTAGCTAGAAATCAAAAATTCACCTTCGAGGAGTTTACCATTCTCCTAACACACTCAACTCTACCAGTCTTATCAGACCACAGACCACAGGACTTCGGCAAGTGTCGGCTATGCTGCCGCACCCACACATTGCGTCACTTTCGCGCACTCCTGGCAAAAATTCCAGACGAGCGATATGAGTCTGCGAAGGTGCATAAATATTGCATAATTTGTTTGGCGACATCGCACGGGACGGGAAGCTGCAATTCCCCAGACGGTGGCCACCGCTCTTTACTCGCATACTATACGCTGTTGCACAGCGCCATACGCACGCCATCAACAAGAACAACTCACATAGTTCGAAACAAACAAGAACGCGGTAAAAGAGTCCAGAAAACCAAAAAGGCGCTAAAAATATCGATAAGGCAGGAAGCACCAAAAAGAGCAGGTCCCCGTAAAGTTGACGCCCCAAAACCCAAAGTCATTCTACCTCCGTCCTCCAATATCGACTCACCGGCTTGGTCAAGAAGGCATTGGATGATGCATGTCACGACCCCACATGCCCCCGGCATGTAGAAGAACTTAATTAATTTTAAATTAAAATAAATATAAGAAACCTATATAATAATTAAATATTGAATTATATATATATATATCTATAATTGGCGCTTTGTAACCAATTAAAAACTTAACTTATTACACTCCGAAACTTCCCAAAATTATCCCCCTCGAATATCAACCACGAATTTACTACTAATTAAAATACTTGCCAGCAACCCTACTTCCGTTACTAATTAAAAGGACGAAAAGTATGGAAATAAATACGTATGTAATATTAGTTTTAAGTTACATTTTTTCACTCGCTATAATACGAACAGACGGTTTTGTACTTAAAATAATATTAAAATAAATTAAAAAAACAAAAGAATTTTATAACTTATATACATACATACATAAAAATAAAAAGTGAACGTTTTTTCGAGTGTATACAATATAAATGCAAAAAGTAACTAATTTATACAACTATTTTTCGCATCATTTTTGCAATCTCTGAATTGTTACTGTTACGTTAAGATATGACAATTTTAGGCCCGTTGTCACAATGTCCGATTAACTTTACTTTTAACCGGCTGATATGATACTGTTGCGAAAATGCGAGGCGAATGTCAGATGAAAGAGAGAAGCCGATAACTAGTACGTTCTAGAAACGATAAAACAAGAACCTTCCATAGCGAACAATTCGATGCTTCTATATAAAGGCGGCACTCAGCTGCAAGTGAAGTTAGTTGCAAAGTGAGCTCGTGGCGTTGACATCAGTTAAGTCGTAAAGTAAACGCGTTGGGAATTACATTTAAGTAGAGTAAATGGTGAAAGTTTATGCAAGTGATTGTAGCTAGTAAAGTGCCTTGTAATTGAATTGTGTATTACGGAGTAAATAAAGGACATTAGATAAAATCTTTATTACGAAAGAAACTGCAAATTAAGTTGGCGAGTTTTATTTAACAATGGAAATCATCGAGGTTGATTTAGTAAAATCGTAACAATACTTTCGTTCACCAATTTCTCTAGGGGAGTTTCTATCGATTTATAACGATTTGCGGATCGCTAAAATGACTTAACGATTATTTAACGATTTCGCTATTCTCTAAGCACAGAATATCGATATTCGGATCGTTATAATGACTTAACGATTATTTTAACGATTTAGCGATATCGACAAAATATTGTTATTTCATTTAAGAGAGTAAAGTGTCCGGTATTTACATACCGCTAATTGCACCGGCTAAATTGCTGAAGGCAGCTGCACAAGCTTGGAGTCATAGCATCTGCCAATGCCTGCGTGGTCGAGGCATTGCTTTCAGCTAAGAACTATTTAAAAAAATACAAATATTTGCAATTTGATTCTATAGCATTTAAAAAAAATTACCTGCAGGGCATCAGCTTGCCTGCTTCCAATTTGGGTGAATGCTGCACTCGACTCTGCTAACATCTTTTGGAAAAAAAACGAAATGACAAGATAATGAAAACACATTTTAGATGTGTTTGCAAACCTAGATATACTTACTTTTAAAGCATTCGCTTGTGCTTGCGCAATTCCGAAATATGCGTTTCGCGTATCACTCACATCTTCCACACGTCTTCTCTTACTGCCTTAACGTGGAGTTTTTGAGGCTTGAGTTGCAGGAGTCGATGCATGCATCTCCAAATCGACCCCGTTTGAAAATGAAGGCATATCGACAATTATACTTTTTTCACCCTCCTCTAATCGCATTTGCAGTTCCTAATATTGATGAGAGTTTTAGTCTCTTTTATTTATACCAAACTGTTAATTTTTCATTACCTCCTCTATAGGCACAGTTGCAAGAACGTTTTCGTGCCCCTGGACATAGTTATTACCTCAAAGGGCAATGACTCGTCTCTCCAATTCGGTGAGTGGCTCCTCATCAATGGAATTGTTTCCTGTGATTGCCCGCTTTCTTTTCCGGGCTCGGACCTTGATGTTTGTGTGTATTTTCAGATCCCTCTATACCTATTTGAAAAATATAATTTTAACATACTGCCAAATTGCTTAAAAATATTTACATACCGTGCACCACATTTCGACGCTTTTCAAAGCACCACCAAGGCAATTCAGCGTGCTTGCTAATTCGCTCCATTTACTATCGCAGTCTGATTGTCCATGAAGCTTCTGCAACCGAGACCCTGCCAAACCCGACGTTTCTCCGAAAAAAATCCAACCTCCAAATTAGCTGCTCCATCGTAGCTCGGTTTCTTTTTGTCGTAGCCGTCCTACAATTATACATACAATAAGGCTTGTGAAATAATACAAAAACTAATAAATATTTCATTTTTCTTACATTTTTCCAAAATATATTCAAAAGCCAGCTGAAAAATATGTACATACTAATTTGGAATAACGAATTTATATGTTTTTATCATTCCTCTTTGTGTTTTTCGTACATTTTGACGTTTCGTTTTAAGAAAATGGAAGTGTGCGATGTCGATTATCGTAAAAACTGAATGAAACAGAATTCGCAACT